TAGCCTTCACACCATTTACCATTATCAAACGGTACCCTTTCTATTGCCTTTCTCAAAGAATAGTACTACTCGTGACCGTTGCAAATTGAAGCTAAGACTGCTGTGCTTACATGTTTTCTCGGCTTGTTATCTATATTACACGTGTTTTGCAGGTCTCAGAGGTCGAGATCTTGGTCACCGCCAAGCCATCGCCATCTTCGCGTCAACAAATGACGTTGAAGAAGAAGTTAGGAATTTTGTAAATTTTGTGTCTATTGCTGATTATCCTTGAACCATTCTCGAAACCAAAAGCTAAGATAGAAGATTTTGGTAGCTATTATTAGTTTGAGGTGGTGGTAGTGGTGGTGTTGGTCCACCGAGAGAGGGTAACTAGAGTTCTAACTCAGGTTTTTATCCAGTTCAAAAGGTATGACGCAGCAGCCCTGTCGCGTACTTTTTAATGCTGTTAAAGCTTTATCAAACCCCGCCCATTATATGATGTGTATACTTTAAAGTGCGATTACAATCAAATTTTCTATATTCACTTTCGTACTTTTTCGTGCACAATATGACTTTCTTACATTTTCTTGCCAAGTTTCGATCTACTATGAGCATTATAAGTAATTTTTTGGACTTTCATTTCTGAGAATTTACGGCCGCCATTACTCTAAGGTCGGATTGCGAATTAGAGAAAATGACGTCGAATACTCAAAAATACCTCACTGATGGAAATAATAATCATTACGACATTTAGTGTAGAAAATTACATGAACAAAATATGCGGAGTTTCTGATCTGTTTTTCTATACTTACTGCGCAGCTTGAAATTTTCGAGAGATCGATTTTTGCAAATTTCCTTAGTTTTCCAATAACCCTAAAAACAATATTTCGAAAATATCATATACTCATGCAAAATAGGCGAAAATGTACTCGCTTTGACTAGAATACTTAGTTTCGATTAAAGTAACTACAAAGACATATAACTACCTTCCTTACAATTGCAGTCTCTGCAGTTTCCGGGTAAATGATTTTGTAACGACTAATCCAGACAAGGAATCTCCTGCAACTCATTTTTGGGGTTTATACTTAAATTGGCGATTATTTCCCTTAGAATATACCACCACTATTTACCTCTACTTTGGTGGCTAACTTCGAAATATCAGGTACACCCAGTACAAATGTTTACAACCATGGATGGTCATACTACACATATGTGACTTATATTTAAATTTGCTACAGTTTTTCTCCCTCCGTAACAAGAAAAACATGACACAAATAAACAATAACAACATTAGTAAGAATAGAGAAAACGCTTTCTATCCGTTTTACAGCACAGCAGTATTACCCCAGTTTGTATCGATTTTTTGTGCAGTAAAAATAATATTTCAAATTAGAATAGCTCAGGAATATTTGTTAACTACGTGTCCCGTTCAAACGCTGATTGTGAAATGTTAAATTCTGGAATGGATGAAGTCGAAAATCGAGTTCATTCAGGTTGGCGCCTAATTCCCTGAATAATTATAAAAAAGAAGTATGCAGAACGGTATTTTGTATTTAAAATTCTTTTTTTATAAAAGCAGTTATAAACAGTTCCATCTGAGCGCTAATTTTGTCAATATTGGTTTCGTTTTTATGTCATACAACGAAATCGAGAACGAGGAAAAATTATGAAAAGGGAACTTCGTGGGATCGACGATGTTTTGCGGGATCAGGAATCAAAATTCCCATCGCTTTTAGGATCAGGGAACAAAATTTTGATTAAAATAACGGGATTGTTTACGAAGAAATATATGTCTTTACAACCCCGTTATGTCGACTAATTTCTTCTTGAAGTTCTTTTCCTGTTACAATGGCTGTTTTTATGCTAGAGACGTTAAAGTTGTCTAAGACGTTAAAGTCGTCTCGAGACCACTTTAACGTCTAAGACAACTTTAACGTCTCTAGCATAAAAACGGCCAATCATGTAGTTACTGCAGTATCATCGGCCCTATCGTTTTGCATTAGATTCCCTTGGGTAATAAGATCGTAGCTCAACGAATCACTATGGGATGTAAATAGCCTTACACTCCCGGAGCAGTTTGCACTTCCTTCGCGCTGGCCGTAGCGGCTTATAAACTAAATATAGCACATATACAACGCGAAATGGTTGTGTCTTCCGGCGTTGATTTTAATCTAGCCTCTGCATAAGTATATCATTCGTTGAATTCGTAGTAAATTATATGGAAAGTAAATTAAACTTACCAAGATGGTTTACAGTTTCATAGATAGGACTTTGAACTCTTATCTGGCAAGCGCGTCGTCGTCACGTTCCAGTTAATTAGCAACACTTCAATCATTTACATATTTTCAATTCCTAGAAATCATTTAACATTAAAACATCTGGTCAGTGAGCTAATTGTCTGAAATGTAAAAATTAATGATGATATCTTTGTTAAAATGTGTGGATGAGTCACACGCGGATTTCAGTCTCCCGCTTATTGAGTAAAGTTATTGAGTTTGAACCAATCAAATCTTGCTTACTTTCTTGAAATCTGATTAGGGGCATTGAAATCCCAAAACGTATTTTGACTAGTAATTGTTGTTTAGGAATCATTATTGAAGAGTTATCGTTAATCTGAAAAACAAGTACAAATTCTGATTAGATCATTGTCTCCACGGATAACGTATTAAAACCCAAAAATAATTTGCGATCCCGATTCTCTGTGAAACTCAGGGAAATTTTGAAATGGCGAAAAATGACCTAAACGATCGTGTCGTCTGGATACCTTGAGATGGCATCCTCAAACAGATTCATTTATTAAGTACAAGTTCACCAGCTATGCAGGATAGGATTTAAATAAAACATTACGATTCAACACTTTTCGGATGCAAAAAAAACATTTTTGGATTATCCCTTGTCGGCCTACGTACTTCCACGCGCGTGATAAAAATACGTTCTATGCAACTGTCAACTTCAATGTTTTGACGGAAAACTTAGAAGTTTTTACTAAAAGGTCTACAACTGACTGAAAGAATATCAACAAACAAATTATCACGGAAACTGAGATTTGAGTGTTTGGTAATATTGTGTTCCTTGTTGTTACCGGTATCTATCGAGCTCTGCGAGATCTTACTCAGGAACGCCACACTTGAAAGACCCTTAAAATATCTGCCTTTGTTTGTTGGCCCCAAACACCATTCCTGACCACCATCAACATGAGTGAGGACCGTCTCAAATGGTAGGGATGCAATCGACGTTAACTTGAACGTGTCTCCCATTGGTCTTGCAAATATGAGCCAATTCCCCGCCTTTTCCCACCATTTTCATGAAGACTCAACTCGAGCACTTGGAAAATGGCGACGTCCACTCCAAACAGCGATATGAGAAGATTACTAGATTAATCAGTTGGTGTTGGAAATGACGTTATTCATAACTTTGAAGCGCACGACATTACCGCAGAAATAGTTCCTACCCTATCTGACGCACAACTGATTCAACTTGGCTTAAAAACGTTAGAAAAGCGGCAACTAGTTCGTTCTCTTTGCAGAAATTCCAGCACAAGAAATGGTAAGCTTTCACTTTTTAGTTTGAGGCTTAGTCAATAAATGCAACTAAATGCTACTTCTTGGTTATGTCAGAATGTAAGACCTCTCTATGAAGACATATATTTTGGTATTATGTAAGATCCATGTTAAACTTTAATGCGAGCCGCAACAGTGATACGAAGTCCTGGATTACGTTAATGGGAACAAAATCTGGTCAAAACTTTCAAAATTTCTTTTTTTTTTCCTCTTTAGTTAGAAGTATTATCTAAGTTTGGTTTGTCGAGATAAAAATAAAAAATCTTTAATTGAATGTGGAATCCGACTGAATCCAAATAGTTTGCTGAAACCGAATAGTTAAAGGTGTGATAATCCGGAATTCTCCAGCAGAGTGTTGAGGTTTTTTCGCGGACTTTCGTCCGAGATCTTTATTTGCATTTTCCTTTACATCACGAATTGCACCTCACAGTAGAAGTAAACTTGTTGCATATTCCAAAACAGTGAGAAATAAGAGTCTTCATGAAATGGGCAAAATATATTGAAGTGGCTGTGTGGGAAGTCTATGAAACAGGCCGGACTATAGAAATTCTAGGCAGAAGATTTTGATGAAGCGAAAAAGTCTGACCTTGCTCTTTGCTTCTTCGGATGATTTGTTTTGGATTTGTTAAACCCATGACAACAAACTTGATCAAACGAAACAACAGATGACCGCGAAAAAGAATTTTTAATTTTGCGCAAATTGTTGTTAATGGATAAACTTCTTAGAAACTTGACCTGAGCAGTTCATCCTTTTCGGCGCACTTTGTCGGTGACAAAAAAATTCAGACTTAACCCTTTTACTCCCACAAGTGATCAAGACAGAATTTTTCCTTACAATTTTCAATTTCAATACTATATCAAGAATCAAGAATGTTATCAATCATGGGATTATTAGTTGACCCAATACCAAATTCTCCGAACTAATATCATAACAATTGTATGGCAGGCAGTAAGGAGAATTACCAATAAGATCTTGGGAGTGAAAGGGTTAAGTTTCCGTGCGCCTCACTTCCAGAGTTTCGCGCGACTCGCTAACATCAAATTTTTTTTTCCACTGACCTTTTTTGACCCGCGTGACGGACTTCGCCGAAAAGGAGAGACTACCTGTGGTCTACTTACAAACATGCATGGTAGACAGAAAAGTATTCTCCCGATGGGAGAAGTTAAATCTACATCCTCTTAGAAAGTTGTGTCAGTAAGAAAGTTCTCGAGTCTGATTGGTCCTTAGCAGCGTTTATTTATCACTTTTTGTAACTAGGGAGTGACCGAACCGTACAACTTTATCTGTCTGATTAGCAGGACCTTTTCACTGGACCAGTCGAAACGGACAGTTAAACAACCGATGGAAACTAAGCCGCTAAATTTTATTGGTATTGGTATAAACGGCCGCGGAATTTGCACCCGAAAAGATGGTAATCGTTGCAGGAATAAATGAGCTAAAATCATATTTTTCTGCTTTATTATCTCACCGTTTTAGTATATACTAAAACTATTATTCACCTCAGTGTCGATGTCTAGCGATGGTGGTATAACCCACAACTAGCCACATCCATCTGAATAGTTGTTAACTAGCCAATGAAATTCAAATCTCATACATATTCTAACCAATGAAAATCAAGGAAAATCTATTGGGAGTAAGTTGCTCAGGTTAAGTTTGAAGACAAGAAAAATGGATGAAATTAACTTTAGGTTGATGCCTGTTCTGACATTAAATATTTTATGGCTGAGTTTCTTGCATCTGGAAATTAGAGTCATACAAATCAGGGCGAACTAAGCCTGATTATTTGCACGATTACTCCCTGAATTGTGCTCCATAAACTTCGCAATTCGAAACAAATAAATAGCAGGAAACTGCAATATTTTAAAATCCTTATGGGGTAAGTAAAAGTATTGAAAGGCTTCTTAGCAATGACTAAAGTAATTTTCTTCTGACGTATCACAATATACTTTCATTTTGTGGGATAAGTCGATGCCTATACCGAAACACAATAAACACGACAGAAATAAACCCAACTATAAAAATCGTTCGTAACGATGATAAAAGAAGGCAAACACTTGATTTATTACTCCAATGAATTTATAACATTTTCTTGCAACACTGATGAGACACTAGTTGGCCTCAGATCTATTTACATAGGGCTGGGGTAATTTTCTGAAGAAACTGCGGCGCTGAGTCGGTGGAAGAGTATAACATAGTAATTTAGTATTATCAATTGAGTTGATAATACAACATTACCTTTTTAATCACATGCTTCAGTCTGTTTGCCAAGACCCAAGAGTTTTACCTCGAGTTTCGGTTTTGAGAATATGCAATTAACAAGGATTTGATCCTCGTTTGTCCATCACGTCACTCATTTTTCTCACAGTGTCCTTCGTGATCTTGTGTTCAGGGCCCAAAATATCCTTTTGAATTACAAAGGCCTCATTGAGCTCCTCTAAAGCCTCATCGAATTGTCCTTGAAGGAATAAGACATCGCTAAGCTGTACGCACGAACGAGCTGTATCCTGATGGTGACCCAACAGCCTCTTTCGTAGCCCTTGAGCTTCCCTGAAGTACATCTCAGCCTGGTTGATGTCACCTCGCTCAGGGCTTCCAGTCGCTAGGGCCTTGTACGTCGAGTCAGCGATGAAGGACAAAATTGAAGCTGTCCAGGGGTGGTCACCAAGCTGCTCTTGGTAAATAGGCAGAGTGTTCTTTTTCCAAATGTCGATTGCTTCTTGATGATCTCCACACAGTCGATAAGAATCTGAAAAAGTGTTAGGACAAGATATAGGTTTTACATAGTTTAATGAATCCTTACCGCGTTTTAAGAAGAAGCAACTGATATGAATAAAGAGACGGACTCCTGATTCAAAGCAGGTACGCATCGAGGGTGATTTTGTCAAAGAATATAAAGCTTGTAAGCCGTACACTTTTAAAGGGCTATTTCCCAAGTGGAATCCCTCCCCATATCACAAATCAACTCATTGTAAGACTAACCAAGGAACATCAACTCTTTAAATCACAGATTCCTAACTTCGAATTTTTCCTTGTGACAGCACCATTTGAATCAAACATTAAGCGCATAAAAATAGATCAAATAAATTTGTTGACTAAATTCTCCTTGTCAATACCACTGGAAATGTTTTAGAACAGTATGGAGAATATGCATGAGGAAGTTAGGCTGTTTGGGGTCAAGCATTCAGAGTTGCTCGTTTCACTTTCATATCGAAGCCTATAGACAAGACCACTCTCTCTTTCTCCATGAAAATAAGACTCGACTAGATTCAAATACATGAGTTTACTATGTCCTCTTTTCAGTTTTTATTTAGCTGGAAATATATTTGTTATTCTCTCGGTTTATTAAAAGAAACCGCTCAATTCGGAATTTCACAGTGCGCTTTGTCACCCTTTTAGCCTCCATCCAGTCTCTTAAAAGAATACGCTTGTGTTATACGGAGTGCAAACCAAAACATTTACTTACTTCCAAGGTCACAGTATCCAGCAGCAACATACAAACAGCCACGTAAAGAATTTCTGATTGAAATTCCTTCCAGTATGAGCTTGCGTCCTTTTTTTTCTTCTCCCTGAAAAACAAACAACTCATGTAAATATCCCGGTCCAGTCTACCTTAGTGCGAGTGACACCCCATTAGGAGTGAAGCAAACTCGCCCATTTCCGCCATTATTGATAAAGTTTCATTAGATTTCCTACAATCTTCGGTACACAAGAGGAACTTGCACACTTCGCCTTGGCGTTAGATTCTCATAAGCCCCACAAAATGGAGAAAATCACAAACAAACAAAAAAAAACTGCACACAGTCCTCTTTTATCGTTACTATGATCTCACCTGCAATACAAAACATACTCCGAGCTTACTAGCAGTGTGCGCATGAGTTTGGGACTTTTGTTCCTCCTCTGGTAGTGTCCTGCGCATATCATATGCTTCCTGAAACATTGCAAGTGTGACTTGGTTTTCTTCTGGGCTGTCTCTGCTGTGAGCCACGTCACAGAGACGACGGAATCCCAGTGAATTCAAGCTCTCTGCATGCCTCTTCTTGTGGCCGGACGCTTTAGCAATATCACAGCATTTCTGGTACAGCATTGTGCACTCTTTAGGGGGTGTTAGAACTTTTACCACAAAATCCAGTACTTCTGTACCATTAACGACGTCTACAACGAAATATTTATCATCTAAATCGCTAGAGTCTTCTAGACAATTCTTCAGCGCTTCCATGATGTTCGCTTTCTGTTGTCGAAACTTACGGATCGCACCCAAAGCTGAATCTTTGCTAATAAACTCTTCGCTCAAGACTCTCAGCTGATCAAGGTAATGATGGTTAAATTTACGCTGAGTGGCGCGCCACAGGTCACCCATGCCTAGTGATTCATTCTCTGTCCGGAAGTAGGCTTGGATCAAAGGATGCATCCTCATCTTTCCATCGGCGTCCTTCTGAAGAAGAGCATACTTAACCATCCTGGTCTTCGCTGTTTCACAATGTAAAAGATCTTCAAAAAGAAACTGAACGTCTTGAGGTATGAACTCCGATGGGAAAACAGAGAAAAGGACAAGATTTTCTTTTACCTCATCGGAAAAATTGTCAAAAAATATTTCCAGCGTGTTATAAACATCCTCCGCACTGATCCTGAAAAGTTGTATGGGATTTTTCACGAGCTGTTGGATTAACACCTCGGGACTAAAACCATTGTTCAGCACGTCAGAACAGGTCACAAGCAGGAGTGGTATCCCACCACATAATTTAGCAAGTTCCTTGGAGTGTTCCTCACTACAGTCATCAACAAGACTCCGAAGCAGTTTAGCAGACGAGTCGAGATCCAAAGGTTTGAGAGGTAACTTACATACGTCTGGCGACACGAATCCAACATGTCTTCGAGTAGTGATTATTAACTTTACATTAGGGGCAGATTTCACGAGCCATTGAGCGAATTCATCAAATTCCTCGCCTTGTATATTCTCTGTATTGTCTAGGACAATGACGGTCGGGATATTTCGCTCCGAGAGTTTACGCTTCGCAAGAGACATAAAATTAGCGGTTTCCGAATAGGTGCGACTACTCAATCGATCAAGAATCTCACTGCAGATGTTTATGAGCTTCTGATGACTTTCTACTCGAATATGTGTTACAAACTGGTCACCCCTCTGCTTTAACAAGTGACTTACACGGATTCCCACTTCAGTCTTCCCCATTCCTGGCATAGAAAGAAGAACAACCATACGAAAGGTCTGCAGTTTCTTTACGATTTTATCTACGTCCGCGTCTCTTCCAACGAAGTGTGCGGTTAAATGCGGAAGATTTCGAGGTAAACCACCCTGCGACGACGGTGTACCTAAAATACGAAAAAAAAAGGAAAAAGAAAAAGTTTGAACAGATACAAGAACGGTAGCCGACCACAACAGTGTCCCAAAAACAAGTTGAGGATATACCAGTAGAACCTTAAATATAAGACCCCAAATAGGGGCCTTAAAGATTGTGCTAGTGCAATTTTTTGGCATAATAATATACATGACAAAATTACACTAATCCACGTATCTGAGAAGAATGATGTGGCTATCAAAGAGAATAACAAGGGACATTAAACAAAACACAAGGTTATGGAGGTTTTTCAATGTGGGTTTTTTTTTAGCCACGCAGTAACCATATCTGGGAGCTTCTCCAGGCAGAATTCAAGTTTGTAAGTGTCGTGTCAAGACACTTTTGGAGGTCAAGAGCATTTTTAGCAAAATAAATCTTGAACCCCATATTGGGGCAGCTCACTGCCTTGATGAATTGGCTGGGGAATACTATCAAACGCAAGCTTTATACTATCAAATCTAGCTTTATCATGATTGGAGCAGTGTAATCCTATTAAATAAAAGTACCTGTACAATTTGAGAAAGAACTGTGGGAGCAAATGGTGGGGAAGCTATCAAAGCTTTTTTGAATCATATGGTGCCTGAACGCCCAAGTGGAAAGATTCATGAAGAGGTTACTCATGCCTGACTAAGCCTTTAAGAACCACAATGGAATTCAAGGACCTTCCATGTTAAATTAATTTAATGTACTCTTACAAAATGCAAAATAGTCTTACAGTTTAAAGGATACACTTGATTTGCTTGTTGTGTTTTAATATTACGAAAGATATGACAGTGCTTATAGATGCATTGTAATATGACAGAAGAGTAAGTGACCGTGGTATCACAAGTTTTTGTCTGTTAACCAATGTTATCTTCGGTGGATCAATTCCCGAAAAAATCCTTTGTTTTCTGAACTAAACCAACAGTTCGAAGTAGTTAAAGTAGGTAAGATAAAGCTGAAAGATTTCTTTGCATAATAAATTTAGTTTTAGTTTTTTTTGTGATAAATTAGGACTGAGAATACTGGAGAGTTCTTCTTTGTAAGTGAAGGTAAAAGATTACAAAAAGTAGCGCAAACTAGTAATACTTTATCAGCAAGAGGCATAAGTGGTAGAAGCAGATTTTTTACTTATTGCGATCCCAATATTTCAGTTTCTCGGCGAAAGGTTTCAAAATATTAAATATTGCCATTAGACAGACCAAAGTTCAGGAAATCCCGTGAAGAATTTCACAGATTCGTAATTTTTCAGTACAATATTCCTGAAAAGTTTCTGTTTCAACGCTGGTATGTGATTGAGTCCGTTTCGAATTGTTTTGTTGTCAGCTCTTAACATCGATTCATTTTTAGCTGATTCATGCGGAAAGCAATGAATGAGGTATCGTGGTGGAGCAGATGTCGACGGAAGTTGTCGACCGTGGACGGAACTTGTGTTCCGTGGACGGAAGTTGCATTGTGGACCGTGAACGGAAGTAGTCTTACATGCTACCCCTCCCCACTTAGTGAAAGTCAAAATTAATTTCGATGAAGCTCAGAAATTCAAGTGGAACGAAATAAAATATTTATATGGTTTAGTAAAAATAATGACCTCAAATAACATTTCCGAACCTCTGAAAATGCAACTTGAGTCGAGAAGCCGGAATGTTCACACCTAGAGGACCCGTAGCGGGTTCATTTCAACTCACGTTGTGACCACGCGAAAGAGCATCAGAGGTGGCCACAATGGTAAGCCGCACATTTGCGTTCGTCTTCAGTTGGTAGAAAATAATCATTGCTCTATTCCTGTACATTTCCTGTCCACATATCAATCATAGCAGCCACGATGGTCTCAATAGATTTTTTTTCGAGCTCCAATATTTCGGTTCGGACTTGAGGCTCGCTCGAACAGAAACAGCAATACCAATCCGTTCAGTACAAGATGCAGACTGCAGACCGGGTACAAAATGTAGACTAGGTACAAAATGCCGACTGAGATTTTCAAAATTTTTTTTCGTCTGATACGTGATGACATGTCATCTTACAACTCACCGAGCGTCACGCAATCGCTTTTCCGCGATCATCTTTCACGATTACTTGCGCTATTGTGGAATATTCCTTGCCCGTTTCTTGATCACAATCGTTCTTACTATAATTTCAAACCTTTATATAGTCTTCCTTCTTTGCGCACGAGTTGTTTTGTGTGATGTCGGTTCAGAATGTACTAACTTATGAATATTTAACTAACTATTGAATATTTAACACGCGCAATATTCGATAAACAATTGACAGCTTGCACGTGGCCATACATTTCATCGTTTTAACCGATATGTGTTCATTTTGTTAACAAAAAATGCGGATTGAGACTAAAAAATTTCCTTCGACTTGTTATATTTTCAACGTTCAGGGGTGTACACACACTGATTTTTCCATATGTGCCTTATATACATGAGGAACCAGCGAATTATTATAGGGAAAAGCATTTGTTTACTTTTCTGGTGGTCTTATCTCTCATCTGTTTGGTGATTACGCAAATATTAATATGTGGAAATCAGACCATATGAGGGCTTGAGATTCTATTAAGAGCGATTGTGGCCGGTTTGTTAAAAACAAAGGATATCAAGAAACGGGAAAGGAATATTTCACAATAGTGCAAATGATCGTGAAAGATGAGGGTAACTAATATTTTGCGGCTAAAGCAATATTTGATGCCTGATTATGCCCACCCAGCCTACCCTCCGCCCCACAAACACACACACTCACCAACAAAAAGGACACTGTCTGCCAAACGACCCCTGCCCATAGTACCTCCAGTACACACAACCTTTTTTCCAATTCCCATCACGACGAACGCACAAGTTTTCTTATAACACAACTGCCCAAAGATGAGAGAATTGATTCCATAAGTCTTGGAAGTTCACATAAACCGAATTCAACTGTACCTATATTCAACAAGTCCAAGAAATCGATACAAACTTAAGCCATAACATGAATGAGCTGGCTCCAAGAGCCCTTTGATTTATTATATCGTCCATTTGTTGGTGGTCAATATCCGTCTGGCAAGAAACAAGGAAATGTAGGCGGGAAAAACTTCTCTGCTGTCTGCGCTCAAATTTCGTTTCCTCCGCTCATAAGACCCTTTTCTGCGTTAACTTGGACTTCTAATGTCTGTATGCTGATTAGATATCATCGAAACCGTCCCCAGAAAGTGTCTTCTCGATTTGTTTAGTCACGTAGTGTTCGGAGCATATACGCAAGTTCTTGAACTCCTTAAAAGCATGACGACAGAAGTCACTCCATTTCTATTTTAGTCTCTCTTCGCCTGTTAACTCGAAAACGTTGAGGTCCAGCCTCTTTTTAGGGGAATATAGATGATATGTGACTAACACAGTCTATAAACTGAAGGATTTTAGGCCACTATCTGCGCCGGTATTAAATCTTGCAGTATGTACATATACCTATGTATATATACCGACTGAGTCAAATTACACCGTTAGGTAACGACGTACTGAGAGATTCTCCGCCGTTAGTTCACGAATTAAAATCTTACAGTATGTAAATATACCGACGCAGATAGTGGCGTAAAATCGTACAGTCTATAGACTGTGTTAGTCACATATTACGCTGTTATTTAACTACCGCTCTCGGTGCCAAATTCGGCGTCCAAAGTAAGTGAGGGGAATATAGATAATGTGCGACTAACACATTCTATAGACTGAAGGATTTTATGCCACCATCTGCGCCGGTATTAAATCTTACAATATGTATATATACCGACTGAGTCAAATTACGCTGTTAGTTAACGGCTTACCGAGAGATTCTGCGCCGTTAGTTAACGGCTTAAAATCTGACTGCTTGTAGATATACAGACGCAGATAGTGGCGTAGAATCATACAGTCTATAGACTGTGTTAGTCACATATTACGCTGTTATCTAATTACCGCTCTCGGTGCCAAATTCAGCGTCCAAAGTAAGCCGAAGCATGCACGCCGTTTCAAATTTATCAATCTTACTGCCAATCAAACATCACTCCATGCTGCCGCAATTTGCAAATGCAAACTCTTCGACCGTGAAATATACCGCCAATTTTGGCACATTTATCCTTACCATTAATTTTCTTTAACGGGCTCACGGCCAGATCAACTTTGATTTTATCGAAGACCTGACAAGAATTTATCTGAGGTCTGTCAAGACGCATTATTCATATTAAAGGAAAAACAATGGAAGCATCATTCGATTATAGAAAATCCATCTGCACACGTGTCTTTACCAGAATCTTACCTTGTTCCTCGATTGAAGAGGCTAGCTTACTGCATCCGACGTTTCTGAGTAGCCATACCAAATAGGATACGTCTTCTAGGCAGATTTTATCGTGATGGCGTAAGAAGCTCAAAAACTCGCGTTGGGTTTTGATAGCATCGAGCTTTCCTCGTGGTAAACAATTATTGTTTTTTTGTTCATCACAGAGAAATTTCATTTTCTTCAACTCTTCTTCTGTTATTTTGTCAGCAATCTGCGCCAAGAAATCATTGAACTCTGCTGTATTTCGAGCGGTTAGGGAAATATCCGGTGGTTGAGTTGAGTGCGCCATTTCTGATAAAAGTTCTGTCTCCAGTCACGCAAACGGCTAATTTATGACTGAAAACGATTCGTGTGACACCTAAGATGATATGGATGAGCCGAGACAAGCAGAATAGCCCGGAAAATTGACACCTAGCTACATTTGAAAAGCAAACTTGATTGCATATATAATGATGAATGAAGGGGGTAAGTTTCTGTAGAAACTGTGGTAACAGGGTAATGAATGAGTTGCTAGTACTTGGATCCTTGTGTTTACACATAGATTTCTGGGGTCGCCACGGGGTAAACATAGTAACTCGCAAGGATCCGATTACGGGCAATTCATTCTGTCAGTATTATCGACCGAGAGAGAAATTCGCTCTGACGAAGGGCTAACGCTTGAAACGTCAGCTTTGAAACTTTATCAACCAAGTTACGCTGCATATGTACTAAGCCTACTCACTTCGCCTAATTAGCAAAGCCAAACCTAGAAATCCACATCACTATTTGATGGATTAAGCAGCCTTTCCTTCCAGTTGTCAGTTGATCAAATCAAGAGTTGGTGGGTCAGTCACTTACATAATCAGGAGGATGATGAGAGAAATTTGCTAGATATTCGTACATATTATTCACAGAAGAGTCGACAAATCTTTCAGACAACATATCAAACTCTTTCCCCAGCGCGACGAACATTTGTTTTTCTCGGTTCCAGGTGTAAGCGACCACTTACCCTACGTAATGCGCATACTCTCCGTTGCGAATTTTCAAAATGGCGGACAGGCTAAAGAGGGAAATAAAAAAAGTAAAGCGATTTTGCAATAAATACTTAACATACAACCCCGTTAGAAAGGCGAATCCACGATAGAAAGATACAAAACTGTATGATATTGAGATCAGGGAGGTTGACAAAATCAACAAGAGAGGTTGAAAATTCATTACGTTGGCTATAGCACATACTTCGATGAATAGACACCCTTCAGGGCCGATAGAGGATTTGGATATTTTCCGTTTGTTCTCAGCGAAAAGCTGTCCATTCCCTCAGAAAACTCTCTAGAGGATAGAAAAGAATCGTTCCATGGCCAACTTGCTCGTGAAATAAAGAAAAAGCTTTGGTCTGGACAGCGAGAGGACCCTGATATAAACATAGACCTTAATGTTGACCAAGATGTTTTCATGGAAGGTCTTGGGAATGTTTTGCCCGGTGTTCTTCAAAGAGGGAAGATGGTTTACCAATTGGAGTCAAATAGGGTGCTTGATTCATATCTGGGGCTGAAGTAGGATGAAAGAATTTTAAATGTAGCTGAAGATTTTGCCTATGTAATTCCAGGAACTATTAAGTATTGGTTGGGACAAAGAAGTCCAATCATTGAATACAAGCTCATCGTTGTAGGTGTTCTTAACCCTTTCATAACCTGCTGCCTCCAGGAACTGAATCCTGTTTTTCTTCAGAAACAGTTGTTTGAGGGCATCAACCCCTTTGTGATTTGTGGATCTGAAGAAATCTTTAGAAGCTCTATTATTCTATTTTTCCAAGCCTTGCTGTGTGTAATATGCTATGTTCTGATAAAGTGACAGGAACTCAGGAACATAATAACATAGTGCATGCATGTAGGGAGTGACATCTTTTGCTTGGTAAATTTTGAGAAAGTGCTCAAACCATGATTTGATATTTCTTTGCAGTTCAAGAATACCCTCTTCAGATGTAAAATCTAGCTTCAAATCACAAATTATGTCCATAAATTTAGCCCAGATCACTTGTATGTCTTTGTTTTGACTGCAATGAGGGACAAGTATAGGTTGGAATGTTTATATTCTGAAAGAGTTTCAACTTTTCTGGTCCAGTAAGATCTCTTTATTCCAGCTTTTTGCTCTCTTTGTTGATTCTAAAATTAAAAGTGATTCCCATACTTTTGATAAATTCTTCATAACATGCCATGTGTTTATATTTATATCTTTTTTCCTCAATAGCATCACTTCTTCTCAGCTCTCTTATGAACAAGTCAATCAAAACATCTGAAATCCTCAGAAAAAAATGTAATGTATCTATGATGACATGATCCATAGGTATAAAATCAAATAATGGTTGTGCCTTACAGTTTAATTTCTTTCCAGTGAAAAACCTTGCTATTTCGGCGACAGTTCTAGCACCAAATTTGGGGTCATTAATTGACCATGTTTTGCTTGTGTCCCACTGTTGCTCCCTGGGACACTTGCACCACACACAAGCATAATCCTCATTTGCCCTGCCTAAACCACATACCAGTGTTAAAAATTTCAAATCTCCACCTAAAAAGTATTCAATTTTATCGGTGCAGCTATTTGCACTTATCTCCTTTAAGTTTGACATTTCCATTCGAAGGTCTGCTACGCTGTCTCTCAGATTATCATATGTCTCTGTAGTTTTTATAACAGCAAGTATATGATTTCCCTTCTCACCCATTGCCACATCCTTTTCATGGAGAATAGTAAAAGTGAAGTTGACAACTGTAAGCCCCTTTCCAATATTTGTACCATCACCACTAAGCTTGATCTTAATAGTTTCTCCATCATTGATTTCTCCATTCTTCTGAAGCCTAACAATGTGCTCTTGCAAGCTTTCTGCAAATCCTAACTGCACACTTTTAGCATCTCCTGGTGTTGGTTTCAAGTTCCATTCACTGTTTAGCTCATTAATTCGCTACTTGATGGAATATATATTGGGAGATCATTAGCCTTAATGGCAATTTCATGCCAGGCCTCATTTGAAATAATGAATTTGTCTTTGAGGTAGAGCCACATATTTATGTTATCAATGTCATCATTATTAAGGGCCTTTGGGTCAGACTCTGTAAATGGCAGCTCTCCCTCTCCAACAAGATTGAAAGTTTCATATTGATTATTCACAGTGTTGAGGACTTCAATTTTGGTTGCAACAAAATTGTACGGCCCAAGAAAGGAGAGTGTAGTCTGACACTCCTCCTTCAGTTGATTTTTAATTCTCTGTTGATGGTGCTTAGAATAGTCATTAAACTTCTTCTTAGCTGGGCCTCTACCTTTTTTCCCATTTGTAATCACTTTTTTGGCCAACTGAATAAATTTTTTATTGTAGAAGGCCCCTTTCTTCTCAGCTTTCTCGAGAGCTTCTCGGGCTTTTTTATCCGCTCGCAATGACGCTTTGCCTTCTCCTGTACCAACGATTCTTCTAATTTTATTTTTTCCCCCCTCAACTGGCTGTTCTCATCTTTAAGCTGATGTACATCAACCTCGTTGTAATACACCTTAAATCGATACCGAGGGCCCGTTTCCAAATTGCTAAGAAGTGCATTTAATTGCCACGATTACTAGCTTTCTTAACAGCTTTCTGAAAACAGAATATTTTCTTTCTGAAGACTTCTGATATATGGCTATTGACTATTATACCTCGTATACCTGATTGCTCAAACACTTTCTTTACAATTATTGAAAGGACCCACTCATGGTTTTCTCTGAAAACTTCTTTGCTTTCAAATAGTATAGATTAGTAAGCTGAAACGAAAATTAATCAGGGAACTTTACGAAAAATCCAGCGAACAAGCTTAAAAAAGGCATTTATTTAGACTTCATACTGCGATGAACTTCACAAATCTTACTTGTTTATCTCGTAAGTAAACAATGGCAGATTAATTCCCGAAGCGATTTCTGAGTTTCCCGATCCCTCTCCTACTGCTTTCACGCTCACAAAACAGGAAAAAATCAAAAGGAGGAAGATACAGCTGTTTTGAAACGCCATTTGACGAGGGTAAATCTGCTTTTTGTTCGACACTTTACATATCAAAACAAAGGAAATTTGTTCCTCTTTTTGATTCTGGCGGTACATTTTTAAATTGCGCTTGCGTAAAAGGGGTATCGCCCGGGACGCTTCGCTCAGTTGTGTTTTGAACAAAAACGCCTTGTTAATTTCACGCAACCGCTCGGAGAAAAGGTTAAAATGACGAGGGAAAAACTTTACCTTCAAGTTAGAAAATTAGGGACATAGAAAGCCACAATATTGTAGTTTAATATTTCAGAGGTACATTGAGTGCTTTTTCCGTAGAGAATCCGCACGATGGTAAAATGTTCGAAAATTACACTCGATTTGAGTGGGGTGTTGAAGTGGGCGTGGTCACTATATTCGTGTTAAGACTATTTGTACCCCATGAGTTTGATATGGCTCATGTAGTCAAACTTAATTTGAAAGCTGTCAGTTACTAAGTTATGCCTGAAGTATATTAACATAGATTTTGACTGCAGAGTTGCGGATTAACGATGTGGAACCGAAATATTATAAATTTCATTGTTATTAAAATTCTCAACAGTTCGCTAACCTAGAATAGATTTCTATGATTTGTCTCACACGAAGTGTGGTAGAATCAATTATTACTGGGTATACCCTGACAAATGGATTCATAAAGACGTTTCGCCTGAAATGGGTACTTTCAAGTGCCGAAGTGTGGATGCAAAGGTTGGAATTTCATGTATCTTAAAATAGAGAATGAATTAAAGAGACTGCTTTAAATCTAGAACATTTCTCGACATGTTTCAGGGACACAGTTTTCAATCTAGATATGTAACAGTGATTCCTCTTTATGATGAAGCATAGGAAACAGGTACATTTACCTTTTGGGTAAAAAGTGGAAAACAAAATTGCCAGAGTTTGCACATTAGAGCAGAGCATCCAAGAAATCTTGGCCCTTTTGCCAAAGTATGGGAAGTACTGTGAGCTGAAAAGATCTCTAAGAGGGGTCCACTGAGCTCTATCTAGTGTTGAAGGTTCTTCACTACTATTAAGATGACTCTGACCAAGGCTTGCTGACTGGCTGCCATTCTAGATAGGAGCCTGAACTCCTTGGAATAAATATAAGAAAGTGGTAGATACTAAGAACAAGTCTCTGAAAGAATCAAACATCTTGGGAAATGAAAATTTTCAACCCCCCTTCAACTGTTGCATGCAGTTAGGTGTTCAGGGGGGATGCACAAAAATGCCCTTTTAAAAGGTCGCAGCATTCTTGTTGCCATGGTAACAACGGCTGCTTG